CAATATCTTAACTAATGTTTTGTTCTTACTTCTTAGAATAAATTCACAGAAGAGAAATTGCTTGATCAAAGAGACACAGTTTAAGGTATTTTAACGTCTATTGCTAAACTGCCCTCCAGAATAAGGTTGTAATGATTTACATTGCCGACAGCAGGATATAAGGGTATGTTTTTTCCCATTCAAGAATGGGTGAGATCATTTTCTTTTTGGGGGGGGGGTGAGATCATTTTTTAAAATCAGAGATTATATCTCGTACTTTTCTAGTACTCCTTAAAGTGACTCAACAGAGCTGGAGATACAGTGGACACCAAAGATAGTTTTGATAAATTGGTAAGTAGTGTTCTTTTCACTACTTATGACTACTGATTTTTTTAAGTAAATAATTATTCATTCACTCAGCATATTTATACTACATGGGATTGTCCTTGGTGTGCCTACTAAAAATCAATATAGTATCTAGAAATGAAATAAATACTTTGTTTGAATTACTGAAACATAAGACAGTGGTGACTAGTTTCAAAGGTAATATGTATAAAAGCTACTCTTAAGAAGAAAGTGTCCTATTGTCCAAGAAGTCTCTTGAGAACAAACAATTTGTCTCATTTTTCTAAGAATAGGAAGTACTAAAACTTCTCCTCTGGGGAAAAGGACTGTGAACTTAGGATACGAAAATCTTCCCATTCATTAACTATTACAGCCTTCAGAATCAGGGCAATTGTGTCAGAGAGGAAGCCAAGATCTGGTGTGGATTTTCATAGTATCAATACATTTTAGAACCTGTCCTTCCTTCCATATGAAGGGGGAAAAATCAGCACTAAAATTTCTGGGGATAGTTTTTATGTTTCTACTCATTCCTGAAAGTTTGTTTTATTTAAAGATACATCAGGGCTAGGGCAACTAGATGGATGTCCTATTTAGTTAGGTGATTTAGTATTACAAGACTCCTGCTAAATTACCAGAAAGACCATACTAAGGTAATAATTGGTCCCACTTTTCCAATGTACAATTCTTTCCACCTTATGTAAAATGGTAATCATCAAAAATTAGCATAGATTTAGAAATTACTGATTTGAAACCTCCATTAAAAGATTATATCCCATAATCCTTTTATAACATTTTTCTCTCTATGATTTGCTGAAGGTACTAGAATGAGTTTGTAGCTCATAAAGCATTATGTGGTAGAAAGAGCATGTGAGTGGGGTCAGCAGATGTGGATTCTAGTCCAGTCTCTTCTAATAGTTATTGAACTTCAGGCAAGTCGCTTCTCTTGGGGCTATAGTTTTCTTTACTATAAACCAAAAATCTGGCTTAGGTCAGCATTTCCTTAAGTGTGTTCTGGAGAACGCATGTTTTATGAGCTGTTCCACTGAAAAAAAGCAGTTCAAGGTTGAATACATTTGGGAAATACTGCATATAACATGTGTCTCTTAGAAATTCAGTGAACATTAACATATTAAAACCACTGAAAATCACTCTAGCTTAGAAACCCACTAAATTTTGGTTAGCCTAGCTTTTTTCACTTTTTCGATTAAAGGGAAATTTTATGTTTGGGGATCATATCAACAAGAGGTCCACATAACACACTTTTGGGAAATAATGGACTAAGATCCTTTGATATGCCTTGATTTATGGTACTACTATTTCTCCTACAGGTATTCAGCCTGTCCCCTGAAATCTGCTCCTCCTTCCAGGATCTCTACTTCACGGAGATGACCACGACATTCCAGCCTGCCTCCCAAACCAAATTCCTGAGGGTCATCCGCGCTCTCTCCTTCTCCATTCCCTCAGATCCAATTACACACCAAATCCTAGGGAGTCCACCTCCTTCATATTTCTCTCATCTAGTCCCTCCTGCCCACTTCCCTTGCAGCATATCTTATCCCAGTTGTTGGCACCACCTCCTAATTTACTCCTGCTCCAGTCTGGTCTCCCTGGTTTCCAAAGTGCAAACTCAGTTGTTCTGGGGCTTAAAATCTCCATTAATATTTCCTAGAATATCAAGTTCAAACTCCTCGGCTTAGCACATGAGCCCCACCCACCACCCTCTTTTTAAAGAAGCCCTTCTGAGCTTTTCCTCCCATCTCTTTGACCCTTTTCTGTGCCTGTCCTGACAAAATGGAACTGCCTGCGGAGTGTTGTTCTGTTTGGTACCTCCATTCCTGCGTAGGTATTATTACCTTTGTCTGAAACACCAGTTCCCTCCTTCCTCATCAGGTTAGCTCCTCCCTGTCACTGAACATTCAGTTCAAGAATCCCCTCCAGTGGCACTTGGTGGCTCAGTTGGTTAAGTGATGGACTCTCCATTTCAGTCCAGGTCATGATCTCAATCTCGTGAAATGGAGCCCCATAGCAGGCTTTGTCCTCTGCAGGTAGTCTGCTTGGAATTCTCTTTCTCCCACTCCTTCTGTTCCCCCCACCCACACTCTCGCTCTAAATAAATAAATAAATAAAATCTTAAAAAAAAAAAAAAGAATCCCATTCCCTGGAAGGTTTTCCTGAGTAGGGAGTGAACTCTGCAATAATGACTTCCTTGCATCCTTTACCCACCAGACTATGTACTTTTTGAGGGCACCTTTCTTGCCCTTTCTTGTCTTTCTTGCCCTTGTATTCCTAGGCTTTAGTTAAAACTCAATAAACCCTTGTTGAATGAATGAATAGTTTCATGGTTTAAAGGAAATGATGAGAACTTGCTTACTTTCCTCAATGGCTGAAAGTGACTTTTGTTTTATTTTGTTTTTCTTTCTTATTAACCTTGACCAACCTAAGCCCTGGGAGGAAAGATAGTTGACTAAGAGCTATCTAAAAAGCGCTCAATAATCTATTTTTTTAAAGGATGTTCAATGAGAGGAGTATCTTCCTTGGATAGTATAACTCAGTCTGGAAATAGCATTTGATGACAATAGAGATTTATTAGGTCTGGCACGCAGGTGTGTATAATCTCAATATACCTGGTCAAGAGGGAAATGGGAATGAAAGGCTATAGAAAGATATGTATGAATTATCACTTATCAAAATGTTTGCATTTGTTAATTTAAAAATATTTATTGTGCAGGGTACCAAGCTAGTATTATGGAAGATAGAAGAAAAAGCAAACTGCTGTATTACATTCATTAGGAAAGGTCATAACTTACTGAAATACTTATAATTAGAGGTAATAAACGATGAATCCCACAAGAAAGGAACACAAGGCAAGGAACTGGTCAGCAGCACCGTCTTCATTTATGACATTACAGTATTCTACCCAAGAATATTAAAGCACCTACAAAACTTAAAATACAAAAGTGCAGTTATATTTCCAAAGCACAAATACCTCAAGAGTGAAATGCAGTTGTCACTGTATCATATGGTTCTAAATACCAATTTGAAACAGATTGTGTACCAGTTTGGAACAGATTGGAACCCTTTGAAAATCTTCAAGAATATCTGAAAAAAGGGGATGTAATCAACCCAAACAGGATAGGGCCCCAGGACAGAAAAATGAACACTCCGGTTCTTAGAAAGGGAGCCCAGGTGTCAGAAATGTACAGTCAATTTTTTATCTGTGAAAATGCAAGCTGCAGATACTCTTACTTAGTAAGCAAATGGTAAGACATGATAAAGGAATGTTCACTGCCACTAATTCCAGGTCACATGTATGACTGGTCAGCTGCTTTAGTGCTGTCAACAAACTTGCTTTGCAGGGAGCCAGGCAAAAATGATTTAATTCTATTTTTCTCTTTTATCAACTCTAGGAGAAGGTCAAAATAAAGATATAAAAACTTAAGATTAGGGGCACCTGGGTGGCTCAGTGGGTTAAAGCCTCTGCCTTCAGCTCAGGTCATGATCTCAGGGTCCTGGGATCGAGCCCCCCATCAGGGCTCTGTGCTCAGCGGGGAGCCTGCTTCCCTTCCTCTTTCTCTGCCTGCCTCTTTGCCTACCTGTGATCTCTGTCAAATAAATAAATAAAATATGTCTTAAAAAATACACTTAAGATTAAAACTTAGACGTCTAAGACAAGCCTGCATCAAAATAAGCAGTATCTGAGGAATTTAGAGCTTGGTGACCAAGAAAAATGCCAAAACCTTATTCCTAAACAATGTCAGTAAGAGGGTGACAGAAATCAAGAACGAAAAACAAGCAAATTTCAAAAGTAAAAAGTAATTAAAGATAATGGAAATGCCCAGTTTCTAAAAGCATCTCAATACAGCGCATGAAAATACAGAGAGTTGTCGACCAAAATGGGTTTTCCTAAAAAAAAAAAAAAAAAAAAAAAAACCGCCTCACAGACTGCAACGACAATGGTCCTGAGGCATGTGGTGTGTTGCTGGGGACCACATGCATGCAGACAGGTCCCTGACAGATCTGCTCGACGCTTCGGTGAGTCCCACGGCCCTGGGACAGAGGCCACTGGGCCTGCGTCCAACGAAAGGCGAGCAGGGGGTGGAACGGCACCGGGATTTTCCTTCCTCGCTCATTCATTCTGATTCACTGGTTCCTGGAGGCGGTTCACAGGCGCGCGCGGAGGAAAGGCGGAGCACCGCGGGGAGCCGCGTCTGGGTGCGGTCCGGCGCCTGCCGCGAGGGTGAGCTGGGCGGGCACAGGGGCGCGGGCGGGGGGCGGGCGCCCGGGAGGGGCGGGCGGGGGGCGGACGCCCGGGAGGGGCGGGCGGGGGGCGGACGCCCGGGAGGGGCGTGCGCGGCCGCCTGCGCCGGAAGTGAGTGGTTGGCGGCGGGCGGGGGCAGCGAGCGGTCGGGCGCGAGTCGGTCCGCCCGTCCGCCGCCCGGCCCTCGGCTCCGCCTTCTGCGTCTCGGCCGGACGCGGCCGCAATCGGATCGGCCACGGCTGGGCGTTGCGGCCGCCCCGCCCGCTGCGCGCTCCCGCCCCGCCTCCGCCGCCGCCGCCCGGTCGGTCGGTCGGTCAGTCAGTCTGTCACGGTGCGCGCGGCGCGGGAGCTGCGGGCGCTCACGGCGTGTCCGGGGAAGGAGCGCCGCGCCTGAGGAGGCGGCGGCGGGAGCAGCGGGAGCGACGGCTGCCCGGCCCCGGGCCGCTGGAGGATCGAGCAGCTGCCGCGGTGAGTGCTCAGCCTCGCCCTCGGGGCGGGCGGAGAGGCTGGCGGGGCGCGGACTGTGAGGCGCTGCCGCGGCTCCCGCCTCCATTTTCCCGGCGCCCGGCCCGGCAGTCCGGGCGCGGTGCGGGCGGCAGAGCCTGGGGCGGGGTCGCTGCGGGGCGGGGGCCGGGCTCGTTGAACCACGCCCAGCGCGGCGGCGGCGGGTAGGTGGGGGTCGGTGGGGCCAGGGCTGCCCCCCGGCGCTCCAGGGGGCAGCGACGGAGGGAGACAATGAGATACAGGACCGCCGGGGGAGGGTGCGGTTGGGTTTGGACCTGGCACCGGGTGCTGGTGGCCCGGGACCGCGAGGAGGAAGGGATTCTCCCCGATTAGCCGCAGAAAGCGGTGATTCGGTGTCTGGGGTTCCTCGGGCTTCGGTGCCCCCCGCCTTTCATAAACGAATTCAGTGCAGAGATCTGGAAATGCGGGGCGCCTTCTGCGCCTCCTGATGAAGTGGGCTAAGTAATTGCTCCCTGGCTTTTGAGCCCTCTCTCCTGTCGCCGTGTCTGTGTGCATTCCCGCCGGAAATCCAAACTGCGGGTCATGGCGGGGGCGGGGGGCCGTGGAAGAGCGTTCGGATGCCTTCATTCTAAAACAGTCTGAAAGATGTGGTTCTCTGATTCAGGTCTTAGGGGGTCCCCGCCGTGCGAGCTGGGAACCGCATCAGCCTTAAGTGCTCGTGAGCACGAAGACGTTGCGGGGTATGAAATAAGAGCTTTTTAGAGGGGTATAGGCGTCGCGTCACATGTTGTCTCGTGTGTGGGGGTTTCTTATATTCTGTGGGAAGAGCGGTTGGGGAAATCTGGGAGAATTGAAAGATTCTTCACTTCCCCGCCCAGTGAGGGTCGATGTGCCCGCAGCATTTCTCCCGGAGATGGGGAGAGCTGCCCGTGTGTATGTCGGAGCTGCTGTAGAGGAACCGTGAAGGTAACGGGCTAGGGATAGGGCGTGAACAGCTTATTAAAAGGGTGGTAGTGAGCTCATAGGAATATTCAGTTCGGCGGATCTTTATGGAATACCTGCTCTTTGGTAGCGTGGGGGACACAAAGTGGATAAGACCTGCAGCTCGGCGTGGTGGAAAGAGCTCTTGGAAGCCAGGCAAACCAGAGGCTGCCTGAACCCTGCAACTGGCTAGCAGTAAGACGGCTAAGCTATTAACCCTCAGCAGTACTTTCCTATCAGAGAAATGGGAATGACACCACCTGTTGTTGACCTTCCCGGGTGTTGTCAAACAGATTAAATGAGATAATGTATGCAAAATGCCTAGCACGTTTCAAGGTTCTGAGGTGTTGGCAAATGTTGATTCCTTTCTTCCTGAGCCTACTGCTTTTGGGATTTTCCTGAGGGTAAGGAGCGGGAAGAAGTTAAGGTAGGTAATCGTAATGCAACGCTAAAATGTTGAAGTCAAGTTACAAAATAGGGGAGCAAAGAGGAGAGATAAATTCCACATTGGGAGCACTGGGGGAAAATTCGCGGAAGCTGTGGGATTTCAGTGGAACCTTTAAGAATGGGTAGAATTAAAAAAAGAAGGGGTAGGATTTCAACTGCTGTAGATGGCGAGGACATCCCAAGCAGAGGTGGTACTATCCTTTGAGAGCCCAACTGAAGAGTAAGACCAATGGAGGAAGGGCAAAATAGAGACGCTCAAAAGCTTTTTAGCTCTTGTTGAGTCTGACCTTCAAAGATTCTCTGTTATTTTGCTTTTTGTGTTGTGAATTTCCCGGAGACCAGATCTAGCCCTATTCAAGTAAGTACCGAAATGTCTACAAAGCTTTAATACATGATTTTTTGGGGTTAGACATTTTGTGCTATTTGGACTGCTGCTCTCTTGTGTTTGAATTTAATAAAGAATTATTTGTAGATGTCTCCTCATGGTGAATATTAGCTTTATTTGGTAGAAAAAAAGCAGCTGATTTTTTAGATTGAGCGGGTCTCATTAAGATTATGTAGTAAGTAAAAGGAGTGGAGTATGTGCCTCAAACTCTCAGTCGACATAATTTGTTTTCACTAATATTTTAACACTGTTCTCTGAAGAGGTGTTTTTAGTCTTTGAGGATGATTAGAATGACTTTTCTTTTGGTTTTGCTTTCTTTTGGTTTTCACCCCTTACATAATTACTGTATTTTTAGCATTTTGGGGAGGCACCTGGGTGGCTCAGTCAGTTAAGTGTTGGACTCTTAATTTTGGCTCAGGTGGTGATCGTAGGTAGGGTCTTGAGATCGGTCTTCCCACTGGGCATGAAGCCTGCTTAAGATTCTCTCTCTCCCTCTATCTACTCCCTCTCTAAAAAAGAAAATTAGCAAAAAATAAAGATTAGTGTGGTGGACGATTTCACACTATAGATCCTGTAGAATTTCATGGCTTTGCCATGGTTCTGAAGTAGTTCAATGTCAGCATTGTTTTGTAGTATTGTTAATCCCGAACTCTTAGGAAGATTAATATTAGCAAATATTAGCAAAACAAGATATGTGACCTCAGACAAATCTCTTATCTTAGATTCTCAGTTCCTTTACCTATAAAATGAGAACTTTGGATTAGGTCACTGGTTTTCAGTGTGTGTTTTACTGAATTCTGCAATTTTGAGGAGGATCGTCAAGGTTCTGTAGATGTTTCACTCAAATCTCATTAAAAATGTATTTTAAACTTAGAATAATTAAAAGTGTCTACTAAGTGACATGTCCTGATTTAAATGCTTTACATGTAAAATTTATTTAATTCTTGCCATAATTCTATGAAGTAGGTTGTGTTACTGTCTGAGCAGACAAGCACAGACTACAGAGCTGTAAAGCGACAGAGCTGGGTTTGAAACCAGGCAGAATAATCTTAAGCCTGTATTCTTGCCGCCATAATAAAATGAATAGCACACACAAGTTTTTTTAATTGTAACATACAACATGAAATTTACCATTTTAATCATTTTTAAGTGTACATTTCAGTGGTATTAAGTACATTCACAAAGTTGTGCAACCAGCACTATCTTCAGAACTTTTTCATCATCCCAAACTGAAATTACTCATTAAATAACTGCACCACCTCCCCCTCTAGCCCCTGGTAATCACTTTTCTACTTCCTGTTTTTATGAATTTGACTCTTCTAGACTTCATGTAAGTGGAATCATGCAATATTTGTTCTTTGGTATTTGGCTTATTTCTCTTAGCATATGTCTTCGAAATTTATCCCTGTTGTAGCATGAATCAGAATTTCATTCCTTTTTAAAGGCTGAATAATACTCTATTGTTTGTGTATACCACGGTTTGTTTGTTTATTCATCTGTGGATAGATGTTTGCTATTTCCACCTTTTGGCTATTGTAAATAATTGCTGCTCTGAACATTGTCATACACATACCTCTTTGAGTCCCTGTGTTCATTTCTTTGGAATATGTACCCAGAAGCGGATTTGCTGGATCATATGGTAATTCTCTTTGATTTTTGAGGAACTGCCATACTGTTTTCCACAGCGGCTGCAGCATTTTACACTCTAGTAGCAGTGCACAACCGTTCCAGTTTCTCCAAATCTTCAGCAACACTTGTTATTTTCTCAGTTTTATTTTGTTTTGTTTTATAACAGTCATCCTAATGAGTGTAAAGTGGTATCTCATTGTGGTTTTGATTTACACTTTTCTAATGATTAGTGATTTGAGCATCTTTTCAAGTACTTATTGACCATCTGGTTTTTAGTTTTTGTTGGTGGTGTTGTTTTGGTAGAAATGTCTATCTAGGTCCTTTGCCCATTTTTATTTTTTTTATTTTTTTTAAAGATTTTATTTATTTTATTTGACAGGCAGAGATTACAGGTAGGCAGAGAGGCAGGCAGAGAGAGAGAGAGAGAGAGGAGGAAGCAGGCTCCCTGCTGAGCAGAGAGCCCGATGCGGGACTCAATCCCAGGACCCTGGGATCATGACCTGAGCCGAAGGCAGAGGCTTTAACCCACTGAGCCACCCAGGCACCCCACTTTGCCCATTTTAAAAATTGGGTTGTTTTTGTTGTTGAGTTGTAGGAATTCCTTATATATTCTGGATATTAAGTTCATATCAGATCCATGTTATATAAATATTGTCTCCCGTTTCCATGGGTCGCCTTTTATTCTGTTGATGGTATCTTTTGATGTACAGAATTTTTTCATTTTAATGAAGTCAACTTTATTTTTTCTTTAGCTGCTTATGCTTTCGGTGCCATGTCCAAGAAGTCATTGCCAAATCCAATGTCATGAAGCTTTTCCCTTGTTGGTTTTTCTTAACAGTTTTATCTCTTATGTTTAGGTCTTTAACCCATTTTGAGTTAATATTATGTATGGTGGTAGGTAAGGGTCCAGCTTCATCCTTTCACATGTGCGTATCCAGTTTATTAGTACCATTTGTTGAAAGGACTATTCTTTCTCCAGTGAATGGTCTTTGCACTCTTATGTACAGATATAAAAAATTTTAGTTCAGAAGCATTTGGCATCGATGGGTGTCTGTGTTGGTGTGAAAGTGACTTTCCATGATTGGATTCAGTGTCCTTGCATTCGCTAGCAGATTAAAATGCAAATCTTCATGAAGACCTTGACTGGCAAGAGTATCGCCCTGGAGATGGAGCCTAGTGACACCATCAAAAATGTGAAGGCCAAGATGCAAGATAGAGAGGGCGTTACCCTCTGCCACACAAAACACCAAGGGCTCATCTTTGTAGGCAAGCATTTGGAAGATGGCTGCCGTACTCTTTCTGATTTTAGTATTGAGAGTCAGCCTTGCACCTGGTCCTACATCAGAGGGGTGGTGTGCAGATCTTTTTGAAGACCCTGACCAGCAAGACTATCACTCTGGAGGTAGAACTCAGTAGCACCATCAAGAATGTGATGGCTAAGATCCAAGATAAAGAAGGCATTCCCCCCCCTGACCAGCAGAGGCTCATCTTTGCAGGCAAGCAGCTGGAAGATGGCTTCACTCTCATTACAACATCCAGAAAAGGCCAACTGCATCTGGTT